TCGATTTCCTCTTCTTCTTTTTCAGTCAAAGTGATGCTCTCCTAGCTCTCCACTTTCTGTTGATGGCTTTGAGCATTTTTGGCAGTAAGTTCTTGTTCCTTCCTCTCAATGTCAAATTTATTCAACTTTCTTCAAACTCCTCATTGCATTTTCAGCTCTCGACCTCTTTTTGCCTCACGTTCACTTGGTTTCTTCAATTATCCTAAATCAACTCTCCATTTCATTTAAATGAAAAAATGAAAAAAAAACACGTTAAAAGCACCAACTCTAAACTAAAGCAATAAATAATAACTACGAAAAGAGCCTCAAATGAGTGGAACTCCACCACTCATCAGCACCCCCAACTTAGAAACTTTGTTGTCCTCAAGTAAAGAAAATCAAAAACACAAGAGGCTCTTATTTCATGACACACCACAAATCAATTTCCCTTTCTCAATTAAGCACAAAGGTAATGGCTTCGGTTGGTACTAACAAATATTCCACATGCAAACTTTTCACAAAAGAAATCCTCTAATTCTCATGGAACATTTTCAAAAACCAAGAATCATTTAAGTGACAACCACTCAAACTCAAGAAATGACTCAACTCATTAACTCTTTCAGATGCTCACTTGACTCAATTAGGAATTTTCAAAATCACCACTTTTTCAACTTACATGCCATCACAAGAAAGAAGTGTCCCAAAACCACACACACATATCAATAAGACAAGGGACAAATATGCAACACTCACACTCACAAAGAATCATCTCATGCACACAAATGTCACACCATAGGCTTGCCCATATTTTCAATTCTCTTTAGGATAGACTAAAAAGAAAAGTATGTCTATAAGCCTGAACGAATTTCGTATTATAAACCAACAATGCAATAGCCTTTATATTGACACTTCACTCAGCAGTCGCAAAAGTTGTCCAACTTGATCAATTTTTCCAAATGTAAGTTCTTCACATTCACAAGAAAACCAGAACTTAACTAGATATAAATACAAAACGAAAATGTATAAAACAATGATCTCACTCTTTAATGCGGGTAACACTGCCTGCACTTGTAGTCACGAAGTAATGGGCTAAGCTCTTTTAATTGAATTGACTTGGGCGAAGACTTTGACCAGTGGTGGCGAAGTTCTTGTACATCCTTCAGTGATCAAAATAATTCATAAATAAAATATAAATATTTTAATTTGAATATAAAAGGAGAAATGACTATCTTTTGGAAATTAATTAAGTCAAATCAAAATTAAATAAAATGTTAGTTAATACAACAATGAATAAACAAGAGGGAAGAAATACCAAATTTGGGCCAAAGATTCAAAATCTGCTGAACCTATCATAATACTAAGAATTACCCAAAAAATAAGGGTTTGGGCCTATTTATATCAACGACCAGTTGCTGGGCCATTCTTTTGAGCCTTTGGGCTGCTTTTCACTCTTAAAAGTCATGATATACACCAAGTGTATATATGATGTATACACCAGGTATATAACTGATATACGACCCATTTTTATGAACTCTGAAACCCTCCTTTCTAATTTCAAACCTGTATTCCTATATTTTGATATTTCTTGACCTGTATCTCAATATTTTCATCATGTATATTGATGTATACCACTGCATACACCCTATATACAACCTATATCTTAGTTTTTCAGCATGTGTTTGGTCTTCGATTTTGACCTATTCATCGATTTCCTGCTGGCTGACTCATGGATAAAGAAATTTGGGCCTTCATGGCCCAAATGAAATGCAAAGGGAGGAAGAGGGAGTTCATGATGAACTCGGGAATAACAAAACAAATAAAGCACATAAGTATTAACATCATAAGAGGTATTGAACTAATATGACTGGGGGTGTTGCTCAGCCCCTGACACACCGCAAGGGTTATTTAAAAAGAACCTTAAGTCATAAACCCTAAACCTTTTGGGCTAACCCTAAACCCAAATCTCCAAATCTTAAACCTTAGGGCCTAAACCGTAAACCCTAAACCTTTGGGCCTAACCATAAACCCTAATTCCTAAACTCTAAACCTTAGGACCTAAACTACTAACCCTAAACTTTAGAGCCTAGACCCTAAACCTTAAGCCTTAGGGCCAAAATCCTAAACCCTATGCAGATTGAGTGCACTAACCCCTTCTATGCAGATTGTTGAAAAAAAAAGGAATTGGACTGTTCGTCTAGACAAAATCCTACCCCTTTTGATCCTAACAATTCCATAAATCATAAGGTTTTGAATGCTGAAGAGAATAGAACTAAAGATGTGTCTAACACCTCCCAAAAAACTACTGCTCCTATTCCCCATGATCTCACTAAACTCACTTCAAACTTCGATAAACATACCAACAACCCTCAAAAGAAACAACAATCACAAATGGAAAATAATACCAAAGTATATAGACACCATGGTCACTGTACAAACACCAAAAATGTGTTGACCCCTGAACCAAGTCCTTTCATGGTGATTTAAACTTTTGTGACAAGACTATGAGCTAACCAAGCTAAGAATGAAATCCCTATTGAGATATCGACTCCTACATTCACTACAAGACAATGCCTGCCAGCAGTGATTTTTCAAAGAGAGGATTTTTTGGTGAAATTAGCTTCAAGATGCAAATACACTTTGGTTGGGTTGGGAAGTTCACAAACACTATGCCAAAAATTGAACTTATCAGGAAGAGTTTTATCCTTCAGACACTACTAAAAAAATAGTGAATACCGACCTAAAAATTACCGACTTCAAATGGAGGTCGGTATTGTTAAAAAGAATAAAAACTAAAAAAAACTTTAGAAAACCGACCTCTGGAGGTTGGAATTTTTCCTGGAAAAAATGAATTACAATAAAAACTGACCTCTTGATGTCGGTATTAAATAAATATATAAATAACAATATTTTATTTTTTCTCAATTAAATATATAAAACAAAATTGAGAAATATTTTGATTTATTTTTATTTAAATTGTCTTCCGGAGGACGGTTTTGTGTAAAATAAAAACAAAAAAAATTATAATATCGACTTTCGGAAGTCGGTAAAATTAAATAGTCTGTAATTAAATTAATTTTCATTAAAATATTTATATAGTGACTTCCAGAAAATTCATAAATTAATATTTTCAATTAAATTTAAATAAATCGTCCTCCGGATGATGGTTTTATATAAGTTAAAAAATAAATTAATATAAAATACCAACCTCATGAGGTCTGTATTTTTATTTCATCTAATTACTTTTAAAAGCGACATTCGGAGGT